ATGTGGCTACTCTTGAAAATCAGACTCTTGATCTGAATGGGTTAAACAATAATATGTGAGATGGAAACAACTGGAATCACTCAGCAGTAACAGGTGTGGCGTTGTTGCACTAATGTGCAACTTGAGCTGATGAGCAGCAGCACCATTCCTCTGGAGGACGAGTCAGGAAGACGAGCCAAGTGTCTCCGTGTTACAGTCGTGTGACGTGTAACAAGCTGCCGGGAAATACAGGAAGAGCAAACTAGATTTGGAACCCAAATGTTATCTCTGTCTGATGTAAACATACCGGCTGTATTATCATTGAAGGAACCTGGAGAACAGCAACAAGGTGAAGGAATCGGGCAGGGTGGACGAGTTAGAGAGAGCACACACAGGACTTTAGAAAGTAAGTCAATGGTAAAAATGACTAATCGCAATCGATCGATAAATAATCACCTGGATTAATTGTTAAATGGAATATATAGACTCAAAAAAAGGCCACCTGCTGAAAGAACATATTTGGAGTACAAAAAATATATAGTTTCCACTTATGATTGAAAAAATCTAACTTTGTAAATATGTCCTACTGAGAAACCTTTCAAGTGGCAAAGTTTCAGCTTCACATGGTTCAAATTCTGTTAAAAAGATTTAAGGAAATCTATTAAGAATCTTTAGTATCAATTTATTACTCAGTAATCCAGTATTTAATCAGCAGATCAGTCAGATGCTGTGTTAATGCTGAGACAAGAGGAAAAGCTTTTTCACTTTTCACATGTTTAAATATAGATATATATTATTTGCATCCTTTAATGCATTTATAATATTGCATAACAACACCTTAGTGAGAAATCTGCAAAAAGTGCCAATTTGTTTTTATCCAATTGTTACAAAAGTCAGATAATCAATAACTAAAATAATTGTTAATACAAATATATGTCACTACTTGTTGGGGGGGGCGGTGTGCGTGTGTGTGTGTGTGTGGATGTACTGTCAGTACTCACAGGCACAATGAGTCCCTGCCAGCACAAAATATTCGCATCATCCACCGAAATGTTCCGGAAATGCTTCATTCCAGATTTGCGGATGTCATCCAGCTCCTGCAGCAAAACACACACGTCTCACAAAAAGCAGAGGTTTGGCACAGATGTTTACACAAAATACATAGGATCCAAAAGGGGGGAATCATGTGTAATTATTACCTTGAACTGTTTAATACCAATCAGACAAATATTGGAAATCTCTTTGTAATTATTTGTCACCAAATATGAAGGGACATATTGAGAAAGATGCTCCACTTTCACTAATAATTTATTTGGATATTAGTTTGAGGAATTTAAGATTACATTCAAAAATAATTCTAATCAACTTCCAGCTGGTACATGACTTTTATTGGGAGCTAAATGTACAGTAAAAAAAACTATTTCAAAAATCAGCCATTACCTTCCTCTCAGCCTCTTTCCCAACTCTGCATCAGGATTCTGTGGGATCCCAATGCATGTGGTGCCTCTAATTCAAATCTCTGACATTTAAATCTGATCCCAAAAGTTCCAGGGAATACAAGATGAATTGCTGATATGAAACGTCTCACAGACAGATGGCGGAAAAGTACTGATAGTATAATAGTAAGAAAATTACTATTATATCATCAATCCTCTACGTAGCAGCCAGAAATACAGATTATCTCTATGTGAGGGTCATAAAATGATTAAATATTACAACTAAATGAGAATATATTTGCTTCACAGAACAGAAGTGAATACACAAACTAAAAAAACAAGTATTGCAAGCAGAAAATATAGGCATGAATACATATTTTGGATAAATAAACATTGTAAAACAAGTTTTGATTTTTTATGTATTCAAGGTAAAGTTATCTACACGTATATAATCAAAGTTTAAAAGTGAACTTTAGTCACACTGTACTTTATTTTATACTTTCTATAAATCCTGCGCTCACTTCATGATTGACATTTGCCCGGTGTGTTACATAGCTACAAATCGAGCCTGTCCCACTTCGCTGTTTTTTAGGTGTTTTTTTTTTTAGAGCAAAGAGAACTGGATTGTTTGGGGAGTTTAAGGAGTAGAGATGACGCAGAGGATGTTTGGTCGTCGGGGGGAATTCCTGAAAGCCAGAAGGACGGCCTCTGTGCTACAAATCAAAACCAAATGAGTCCCAAAGAAACCGAAAGTATGAGACACAGGCCTCCCCCGTCAGACAGGTTCATGAAAACTGATATCCAGGCTTATTCTAAACGAACACAACAATCGAAGACTGAAAACCCTTATTGGATCAATTTGCATGCACTCATCAGTGTGTTTTATTTGAAAAAAATAAAATAAAAATCAGGACCATTTCATTTTTCTGGTGGGTCACTATCGTTACAGTTTACTATCCAAAAATAATATATATATATTTTTGCAGTTCCATGTAGCTTTTTCAATGCGTTTAATGAAATATTATTGTTTTTGAATCACTTTTGCTCAATAGGTTTATCCTCTTCGATCACCTCCTGCCTGGTTACTCAGTTTCACTTTTGAATTGAGAGTAGTAATGATTATACAAAGCATTTCCAGCTTCACTCTAATGTACAGTTTTAACAACAATATTACATTTTGCTAAAGAAAAAAAAGCCGAAAAAGCATATCAAATCAATGCTCCATCACCCAATTCCCTACCAATTCATTAGATTTCCCTACATTCAGATTTCCAATTTTTCATGCAGTTACGCCAACAGACGTTTTTTTTATTCATAAAACATATCTTTTTCACGTTAATTTCATATGTGATCGAAATTTTTCTTAAATGTATAATCAAATCACCAACCACTTATTGATTTTCTACTGATAAGTGACAAAACAAAATAAGTACAAAACTAACGATGTAGCTTTTTTTTCCCCCCCACCAACGCGGTTCAACTAGAAAGATCCTTTCCTGTGTATGGATTATTGCCAGATCATAGCTGCTATTGATTATCAGTCGCTTGGAGGTTCTGATGAGATCTGACGTCACGCCCCAGCCCCACGGTCTCCATGTTTTCTCCCCAGCTGTGAGCGTCGTTACACGGTGACAGCGGCTCCAACAGTCCGCTAGCTTGACTCAGCTCACGCTAAGCGCATCGACATGTTCTCCGACAGCTCCCCGAGAGTTGCTGAATCACACCCGTCAGCCTTTTTCGCTCTTCTCTCCGTTCAATCCCCCGTCCGTCGGACGTCATTCTCCTTTCATTTTGTCGGCGACAAACACTCGGCCGCTTTCTTAACTCCCCCGCCTCTTTAGCTCCCCGCACGAAGCCGCAACGAGTGTTTCAAACTCTCTAGAAGTAAAATAAAACAGATTAGTTGGGTCTTTCTTGCTTTACCTTGCCTAGTCTCCTGGTTGAAGTCATTGTGTTGCCGAGTTCGTCTTCTTCCTGTTTCTTTCCGTGACTCCGTCCTCGACTTCTTTTGACTTTAGTTTGAAGCGGCAGAGAAGGCGGAGTCTCGCGGTTGTACCTCCCCCTACCGGCGCGGAGGACTCAGAGAGGACACCTGACGCAAAAACATGAAAATAGTGCTGTGGAAATGAAAACTTAATAAAACACAGAAAATCAGTCGAAATTTTATAAAATGCAAGTATTGACTCATATATCTATACATATGTATGGATGGATGGATGGATGGATGGATGGATGGATGGATGGATAGATAGATAGATAGATAGATAGATAGATAGATAGATAGATAGATAGATAGATAGATAGATAGATAGATAGATAGATAGATAGATAGATAGATAGATAGATAGATAGATAGATAGATAGATAGATAGATAGATAGATAGATAGATAGATAGATAATTACTAAAATTTCTGATAAAGAGGAATAAAACTTTGACAGTTCATTTGAAGAAATAGGATTTGCTTAATTAACAATGTATCCAATTGGAGCAGCAGTGATTATATCACTGAAGAATGTTAAATATCAACTTCCCCCTGACCTTTGCTCTCAGTCTGGCCTCTTTGTGTGAGTAATCAGAAACTTAGAGATCTTTCAAAAGTACGACATGCACCTGTAAACAGATTTTTCTCAACAGTTGTTCCATTTTCTACAATACTTTCAGTTGCCTGTGACATGGAGTTTGAATCAGGCTCTAATCTCTTTTCAATTGGACTGACACTGTCTAGAATAGACAGCTGGTATTCCTTAAAAAAAGGACAAAGAAACCCTTCAACTTCTCTTTATAAAAATGCAAAAACTAAAAAGCGTAATTAAGAACATTTATTTTCTGATTCGTCTTACTTTGAAACATTAACTGTGTCCAGATTTGCAGTTGCAGCTCTCTGTTGGTCTCCGTCTTTTTGTGTTTGTCCAATTTGTTGCTCACAAATGACACGAGCTGCATAAATCATCCACACAAAAGAAATGATGTGTACAGATTCAAATGCCGCCGTTGTTCCCAACAACTCACAACCCTGAATAACAAAAAAATTTTAAAAAAATTACAAAAATAAATGAAAAAATAATAACAATAATAGTAATAATAAACAACTTTAGATGCAAAAAGGTTAAAATCTTGAGTTTCAAACTTTTATCTATATTGGACCAAGTGCATCACTCTTCGATGGTCCTAAACTGTTCTTTTATTAGACAATAAAAATCAAAAGGTTTAACATTTGATGTTCTCTAAATCCAGAGTATAAAAAAATTTATATATTGACATGCAAGCTTATCTATGGTGTGATGCTTTATTAAAATGGGGAGACAAATTTAATGGCTGAATTACTGGTGCACATAGATTCAGCCTGAGGGGCATGCTGTTTTTTTTTTTTTTTTTTTTTTTTTTGCTTTAAATCACAATGGAAACTCATTCTTGAATCCCAACCTGCTTTGGAGCAGCTGCTTTTCTGTTTCTCAATTTGGAAGGTTTTTATTTATTTATTTATTTTCTCCACGTTTTTTCTTTTACTTTTGACATATTATCAACGTCATTAAACCGGTCAAACGCAGTCTGTGTGAAACCCCGAGTGTTTATTCGCAGTTCGTACTCAGGTGAACTTCTCCGACTGAGCTGCTCTCTCCCCGAAGCCGAGTGGGTCTTGTGACCTCAGAGCCGACACTCTGTTCAAGATGGCCGTCTTGAGTGAAGAATTTACACCTCTCCTCTGAAACTAATCCAACAGTTAGCTGTCTTGGCAAGTTCAGTTCCGTGTTTAGAAAATGGCACATCGACAGTGTCCTTGCTTGCTCCCGTTTTAGACCGGAACTGCTGAGGTCATGGAGTAAACCCGCCCAGGTAAGAAAAATCCCCAACAAACCAGGTTAAACCCACTAGGGGTTGCAGCATTAGCATGCTAGCAGTTGCTTTCACCATGAACGAGCTAACTTGAGCTACACCTGCATAAAGTACGGTCATTTCGATAACAGTAGGTAGGTTATTGCTGGCTTTGTTCAGGGCAAGTAGTAAGTAGAAGACTGCGTAAAAGTAGGCGTTTAATAGTACTGTGAAGTGTGTCAAGTCGATGCTAAAGTTCTCTCCTGCATTTGACAGTTTTGTTAGCATTCTTGCTGGGTTTTTTTTAAGGGAATCCCGAATTTTGGATCGAAGCTCGCCAATAAACGGACTTTGTAAAAAATTTTTTAGCTTTTATAAGCCTTAAAAACCGAGAAACGGCAACACCAGTTAAATTTGGCCGTCATGGATGTTGAGAAGAGTTTAGTGACCCGTGATTTTCTGCGCTCTGGCTCGCCTTTTCAACCTGTAACGCCCGTATTCTATGGCAACTTCAGACATCAGCCAACCACAAACAACAAAACGAAAACCAGAGAAATTGGACAGCATAGCATTTTTGGAAAAAACAAGAAACGCGTCTTAGAGAGTTTATGTATTTTATTTTATGACGGCAGCATTTCTTTGATCAATTTAAATTTGTAGTTTATTTAACTTTAATTTTTAAATAGACTCGCCTTGTTCGACTTTGCCTTTTAATCTGCTTCCAAACAGATGAAATAAAACAGATTGATATTACAAAACAGTCATTTCAATATAGTCATTTCAATATAAAAATAGAGCTTACAAAAATGGAGAAATATATATCTACTATGTATATCTTTTTGAAGTACATATAGTATTATAAATGCATATCACCAAAAAAAAAGACCTTTAAAAATAAATTTGACTAACAACAAAGTTAGTGAAACTGTACAGTTTGACTAACAAACAATAAACCTTATATTTTACACTGGTATGCACATATAAGTCCCTCTTAAGTCAAGTCAACCATCTTCCTGTTAGAGTAGATGCCCATCATCTGACTTGTGTCCACCTCTTTAAGACCACGCGGCTGCTGAGTTTTCCAAGAACTAAAGCATGTTGCATGACTGGAGGTCCAAACAAAGTCAGAGACGTATACAGAGTGAGCAGAAGCAGAGATAGGACAGTTTGTTGTTCACCACATCACACAGGGTGCCATTCAGCTGCACATACAGGCCTGCTGACAGAGAATCAGTAACCCAGAAGCTCAGAAAACACAACTGCATTATAATCAACATGAAATAACATAAACTGCATTTTTAGAAAAACAATCATTTTACAAAATACAAAACCATAAATATTGCAAGAAATCTGAGAAATGTATTTTCAAACCGGGTTTTCTGTTACCTGATTCAAATTTATTGCCTTTTTTTTTTAGATTAAAACAATTGTTTTTACATTGTTGAGTAAAATGAGATGGCTCATTAAATACCCATATATAACGACCTGATTAATAATAAAATTCACTTCCTTTTTCTGGTAAATATTAACCTGCCCTAGTGACTAGTGACTCAGCAGTGAACAGAAACTTAGGTGGAATAATTAGGTGCTGCTGTGGTTTTCCTGGTGCAAAATGTTGTAGCTGTGATAAGAAATCTAAAAAAAAAAAGTGTTTAATTTGACATCTAAATCCTAACCTTATTTCCAATGAAAGTATATAACTTTAATCAAACTACTTGTACACTGTTTTTTAATGTTTTGTTCTGTATTAACTTCCTCAGGTTGTGATTTGCCTGTTTGCAGCTGCCACACTTTACTATGTTTAGAACATGTTTTAGGTCTTTTTGTTTTTCTGACTCATTATTTTTAGCTACACCAAAAATATATCATCAGAATTGAACCGGTTTGAGCCCTTCCTGATATTCTGCTAATTTATTTTCTGAATTGTTCATTTATTTTACGTTCATATGTGATTCTGCTGTGTAGGTGCCAACATGTGTAAAAACTGGAATATGAGCAAAGAAATCTGAAATGTTGTTTGTGTAAAAACTTAAAAAATATATATTTTACAGTATATTGGGGGAAAAAAGCCTAAAATATTTTAGGAGCGATTGACATTTCGGATGGGAAGGCGGGTAAGCAAGTCTGCTCTACTTGTTTCTGGTTTTGTTCTTTCTATTTAATTAAAAATATATTGCACAGCTAGAACTCCATGTTAGACATGAAAACCTACTTTGATTTGGCAACAGGCTGAACACGAGTATTTATGGCTGCATCTGTGAAATATGTGGAGAATGAAAAAAATCATTTCGATCTGGTCACATTGCTACTAGGCCTTTGCATCATCAACACAAGCCTTTTCCAACCCATCACAACAGCTGTGTGAAGACAAAGCTTACAGTTTTGACTGGAAACTTTTACTCTAAAGATACAGGAACCAGTCACTGTATCTGGGGAAGTTTTCTTTCATTTCCATGGCAGGAACCAGAGACAAATCAGACAAAAGCAGGCAGAAATCTTCCCCTGAAAATGGTTCTTCTAAGGAAGTAGGATTTCATTTGGATGAACTTGTGAACTAAACAGAGATTCAGTGCTTTTGAATTAGGATGTGATGGTGAAGTAAATAAAACTTGACAGTTCACAGCTCCACACAGGCTTAAAGCTACAGCTTTTTGTTCATAATTGTGTCTGAATAAAGCTAGCTAAAATCAGTACTTAAGCCGCAAACCAATGCGCTGCAATGCAGGTTCACAATGCAACAAAATGTTGCATTCATTGCTTTTAATATTAGAAATTTTTATGTTTGCAGAAATTTCTGAAGGTTAGCTAAATATATGGATTTTTTTTCTGCACAATGATACCCTGGTTTTCGTGGAAGTGGGGTCTGGGCCACAATTTGAAGCATCTGTACAGCTTTAGACGTGACCTTTGTCTCATACTTATTGTGTTTAGATGGATCAAAGCTCTCATCAGTTACAAAAATGTTTTGACTTCATTACATCTTATCAACTGATTTTTGTCCTTGCGCCCATAGAGCAATTGTCTGGAAGCCAAACCCTAAAGGGCTTCAAATCGTTTTTATTCAGCGATGAAACCTGCTTCTTTAACAGGAACCGGAGCGATCCAGGGCCCTCTGCTGTAACCCAGAATGGACAGCTTCTTCAAAGCAGCTGTTTGTGATCTGGACAAAGTTCTTGATGACTTCGAGCTCAATTCAGGTCAGACCACACCTCCACTGACTCCCGCTGTCATAATATGACTTTTCAAAATCAATACCTTTTCTGGCACTGCAGGAAAAATAAAAGTAAGAACAACATACTCAGTTACAATATGACCTGCTTACGTGCAATAAGGTGAAGATATGTCAGCCAACATCTGAATTTAAAAAAAAACTATATAAGTACCACTTGCAGGAAGGTAAGGTTTTCAGCAACAATGCAGTTCAAAATGCTTTACATGAATTAGAAGGAAATGCAAACAAAACATCAAATCAAAGGAAAAACAGAAAAGTAAAAGTATAAAATTCCAGATGTTTAATCAGAATAATATTTCATAATTTAGAAACTAGTAGGGGTTTCTCTGGATTCTTGTTCTGATTAAATATTGGTTTCATCGGAACATGTTTGTTTGATTCTATTAGTAAGTATAAAACTAAATGTTGAAAGTGTTACGAGGTTTCCAAACATTATGAAGAGGCTGATAAACATCTTTCTAGTCTTTCCTGTTTGACCGGGCTGCAGGCAGAACGACAAACTCAAATTTAGATTGACTTTAATTGACTGAATTGAATGTCTCTTCCTTGTTATAACATGATAAAACAAGATTAAAAAGTCTAAATTAAAACTTCTCTCATAATCATTCATAGAAACAGCAGCTTGGTATTTTTAGAAATATTTGTCAATTGAACTATTGATAGATCTATAAAGATGGATCAAATTTACAGGTTGATTCAATAGATCTCTTTAATGAGCCGTAAATACAATCTTACATGTAACAATTTAAAAAGTCCTAGTTCACACTGTGAAATAGGAAACCAGAATCTGCATTATGTTGATTCTTGATTCTTGAAACTTGCAGGTAGTACAAGTCATTTAGTTGTTTTGTAGTCAGTTTTACAAAAGACTTCCCAGAAAAATCTATAAATTGTACTTCCTAAAAAAAAAAAGTAGAATGGAATTTTGAAATGAAAATATTTCTTTTATAATCCCGATTGTATAAAATAGTTTTCAGTTTCGAACTTGTATTTATGTACAGTTCTTTGAATGTTTTCTGCCCAAAAGCCTTTTGTTTTGTTTTCTGCAAAAGGTTAATATTTCAAGTGATGGAACAAGTTTCTAAATCAGAAAGAGAATAGTTTTCTTCAAAGCCACCACCTTTAACATTGTTATGCTCCTATTTATAATAGCTCTATTCAATTAAGGGATTATAGTCATCATTAAAAATCACAACATATGAATTGACTGCTTCTGAATGGCATATATAATCTTATGTATTGGGCTTACTTATTGTTTGTATATATATTTTTTTTCATCAATTTTATTTCTAATTATCTGTAAACATTTAGCTTTTTTCGTGTTTACATGTAATATGTAATTTTATGTTTGGATAAACTAATCTGTTGTTGATATGCAAAATAAGTAATAAAAGTGCGTATGATTCCTGCTTATATTGTACTGGCTCACTATTGGTATCGGCCAATAATCAAAGCTGCGATATCAATATTATATCAGAAGCAAACAAAGTTGTATTGGGACAGTCTTATAAATAGATTTGTCATGTATTTTTCAGTAAAGTATTAGATTGTTTAGTATAGAAACTATTACCTGCATAACTTTTCTTCTTTTTGGATTGCAGAGGAACTTGAATGCAAGCCTGTTTTCCTGAAGCCCCCTGTCTACCCGTTTTCATCTCTGGCCCCTCAGGATTCCTCCTCAGAGGTCTCCAGTTCCTCAACAAGCCTCCCAGACCTCAATTCTCTTCACTATGGCTCTGCAAGAAGCTGTTCCAACAGCTCCGGCAGCCACCTGCAGGGCGCCGACGGAAGCGAGGTCAGAGGTCAGCCCCTGACAGGCGTCGACCTTCTGTCGTCCGTGGACCGCAGGCCTGCCAAAAGCTCGGCGCCCCCTTGCCCGGACAGAACTCTGAAGCCAGTGTGCGACCTCGTAAACGACGCGAGCTCGGCCATCTTGGTACGGGCCAACAGTCACGATGCATTCAGGGAGCTGGACGCTGCTGAACAGCAGATGGAGGAGGAGAAGGAGGCGTTGCTTGTGGACTTCGACACCCCCATGGTCGCAGAGGTGGGGGCAGGGGTCAACTTGAACAGCGTTACAGAGGAGCAAACTTCTGCAGGGACAGATGAGTTGCATCAGCAGAGCGGCGGTTACTCTGCTTCACTCAGTTTGTTGGACATTATTTTCCCCGCAGCAGTGGAGAAAAGCTCAGAACTTATTGAAGAGTCACAGTCGAGAACCACAGAGTCTGCTGATGAAGACGAGAAGGAGAGCGAAGAGGTCTTCTCAGACCAAGTGGTGGGGAATTCCTTGAACCTCCATGAAACAGATCCTACAGAATCCAATAAACAAGCGACTTTATCAAACGAAGAGCATTCATTGGATAAGATGTTGGAAGAAGGTGTAGCTGAGTCTACTGAAGGGTTGATGAATGAATCAAATGGCGAAGCAGTCAGCTTATCATGCCTGCCGATAGCCGTGTCAATGTGTGGCGCTCTGGTGAAGTCGAATACCTCAGAAGACGATTCAGAGGCAGCGGCAGAGCGTTGTGACGGGGTGGTGGCATCTGAGGACACAGAGACGGAGTTGCCGTTGGCTCTGGAACCGAAGGATGACACCAGAGACTCTACTAGGGATGATGACCCCGCTGATTCAGAGCAGATTCCAGAGCGCAGGCCATCTCCGGAAGGCCAACATGGCTCCCTAGAATCTACCGTTCCTGCAGAACTCCCTACCTCTGACCATTTGGAGTCCAGTCCGGTCGGTCCCCCCGAGTTCGGCTTTGAGTATCTACCTGAGAGCGACCAGGCTGAGCTGCTGGTCACGGACGAAGAGTTGGACGCTTTCCTTCAGGCGCATGCCGAAGCGGAGCAGGGTGCAGGTGCTTCTTTCTGCAGCAGTGCCAGAGATTACACCGAACCAGAGTGTCTCTCAGAGTTGGACCAAGGTCTGGAAGAACAGCAGATTGAGAAAGGCCAACAAAGCTGCAGTCAGGATGGACGGGAAGACCTGGAGGAACTGGGCTTTCCAGAAAGTTGCAGAACAGCTGCTGCTACACCAGTATTACCTTGCCAAGACGACTCCTCTGGAGTCAGCTATTCTTTAACCAGCAACCCTTCCCTGTCCCAGCACAGAAGTAGCTCTGAACAACAACACTCCTATGGAGGTGCGAGACCAAAACAGCCATACAGCCAAACTACCAGACCTCCACCTGCCGGAGAAGAAGGCGTGGAGCTTAATGCCTCTCCAACACCAGAAGACGAGGAGAGCCCAAGTCCTATAGAGGAGCACTCCAGATTCAGGGATTCTAACTCCAGCAACACCTCTCAGGATTTCTCCGTGGGGTTTGATGAGCTCTCAGAGCCGCCTCCTTACCCCGGGGAGGAACCAGCGGCTGTTGCCAGGTCAACAAGCTGGAAGAGGGACGGCAGTGAGGAGCTGGGGAGCAGACAGCCAGAGTGGGTGCCAGACTCTGAAGCTCCAAACTGTATGAAGTGCAAGCAGAGGTTCACTTTCACCAAGAGGCGGCATCACTGTCGAGCCTGTGGGAAGGTAAGCCTGTTACATAGTGGGATGTGTCAATCATCCTTCATACAGTCTTTTTTTCTCACAAGGAAACAGATTTATTAGTTGTCTTTCATAGGGATGAATGATATATCGACATCAGAATCTGCTTTTGTCTGTCATTTTCACTTATCAGTCTGATAAGCAAAACTCGACTGAGATCATGAACTGATGTTTATTTCCATCTTGTTGTTCTTTATGTTTGCGTTTCTTTAAAGGCAGTTGGTTTTGTGGTTTTTGTTCATGTGACCAAGATGGTGTCTCCAGGGGCTGGCTCCTTATCCTATTTCCCAACCTCCATAGTGCAGAGAAGGTGCATTTTAGATTTCATTCACACCAGCCATGTTTACAGTTGAATAGAAAGTCCGGTTGGTTTTGGGAATGTGTAATTGAACTCTTGTCCGTCTGCAAACCTCGGTCTGGGTTCGGTTGAAGTGACGTGTGATACGGTTCAAATGCATTGCGAGTCCCAAGCAGGGTGGGGACTGATCCAAAAGCAGGAAGCAAACAGGGCATTCTGGGTAAATACAACCAAAACAAATATGGGAGTATTGCTGTAGCAGGAGAATTGGCTCATGGTGTTTTGTCAAAAGAAAAATCCTTTAGCTGCTAAAATCTGACCCCACTCTGTTTTTGTTTACATTTTGAGAAGAAGGAAGTTGCGCTCGTGTCTTCTTTAGAGGTTTTTGTGTGGTTTCCTTCAGTTGTTCTTAATGCAGCGCCCCCACAGCCGAGGAGGTGCAAACAGTTTGGTTTGAAAAACAGTGAAATTGAACCACAGCAGCTGAAAATATAGCAAATGTTGCATTTCTTGTCTCAAATAGTAGAAAGTCTACCAGACTAACAAATGTGAAAACATCCTTAATATTACCATCTGTCTCCTAAAAGCAGTTTATAAACATTATTCCATGTCACTGGCTACCAGAAATGATGATTTCCCATTGTTGATCATTAAATAACATTGATCGGCTGGTTCATTTAAGTAAACAAAGAGGTATATCATTCTTCAACAATAAATTATAAATTTGTCAAATGGGTGGATGGAGCTAAATGCCTGGCAACCCTGGAAAGAAATCTTGTTGGAGAGTGCAAAATGCTTGAGACTTAATTATGATCAATAACTTTATTAATTAATCAATTTGTTTCTATTCCTGCTCTGTCAACCAACCTAATTTTCTGTGTGCTGAATCGTTTGTTTTGTTTTTATTGTTCTCGGGTGTCTGTGCCCCAGAAATAGTTAAAACGGTAGATTACATCTCGGAGCTAAAAATAGCCCTATGGCAAACAGCATGAGTCAGCGGTTCTTTTTCCAGCTCCTCTTTAGACCTCCGCTGAGCCTTGCATCCTGGAGCCAGCGGCTAAGTCCTCTAAGGAGCGGCGATTAAAGCAGGACTGGAAGCCGGCGCTCAGGATGCGATTGTTTACAGCTCAGACGACATGATTTGCCGCTGCTACTCGTGCTGCTATTGCTGCTGCTGCTGTTGCTGCTGCGCGGCGCCGCACGAACATGTCAGGATGCTCTCTGAATTGTTTTCATTCCGCCTTCTTCTCTCTGTCGCTGCTAGAGTGATTCGGTGTTGCCTTCATTGTGGTTCTCTTTCTGTGGCAGGTGTACTGCGCTGGGTGCTGCAACAGAAAGTGTAAGCTGAAGTACCTCGACAAGGAGGCTCGAGTGTGTGTCCTCTGCTTTGATACCATACACAAAGGTAAGAGGAACGCTTTTCATCTGCCCAGGGGTGTTATTGCAGTGGCAAAATCAAAGGATAGATGATTCATTGTTCAGTTGTTAACACCCTCAGCTCCCCACCGAGATTAGCCTCTAGCACACAGATCGTCAGGTCTTCATTGACTGTAGCAGCACAAAAATTCATTTCGCAGGATTTGGTTTAAGTGAGAAATGTTTACATTTTAGTTGCAAGTTGATCTGGGTGTATAATCAGCCATAAACAATTCAAAATAGTAGTAGTTGTCGGAATATCTATATTATTATTATTATAGAATTATAACTATTATATAATAGTTATTTTAGTAGAAATTTTAACATAGTAATAATGGTAATATAATAACCATAATATTAAGAACGTCATAACTGTTATTTTCATAGTATTATATTTAATTGTAACAATATTGTAACAAATACAGTAATAATAACGGCAATAATTTTCATCACAATGTCCTTTTTATATTATCATAGTGAAAATAAAAATTATATAATTTTATCAACAATTATATTAACATTATAGTAAAAATAATAGTGTTATCTGTCTTAATCTTTCCACTCTAAGCATTTATTATAGTTATTGTTGTACAATTAATAGTAATATTATTATTAAATGTAATAATAATGTTGTTATTGTATGATGATATAAAAATTATTACATTATTGTAATCTAACAATCTCATTATTATAGTAGCAGTAAAATATCATATGTAAAGTAAAAAAATATATAATTCTATTAACAATTATATAACACTAATAGCGTTATGATAATTACTGGTGCAGCAACAACATTAATAGTGGTAATTATAGTAATAATAGAAATAACTGTATGAAAAATAATTTTGTAATATTGTGAAGTAAATCAGTGGATTAGTTGGTTCTTTTTGTCATTTTGATAAGATTATGTGTGATACCAGAGGTGTTGGGTGTTCTGAGCATATTGGCACCCTTTCTCCTTTGAGTTGCATGGCCTGGTCAGGTGGAAAAGGAATCAGCCATTTTCCGGTTCTGCTTGGCTGTGGTACTGGTGGTTTTAAGCAAGGAGAAAAATACATGGAACAACCGGGGCAGCAGTGTTATTTACATGTGTACAATTCTCAGAAAGGTTTGTGCTTTGTCCTTTATGCCCATAAACACACACCATATAACAAGCAGAAACTGAAGTAGTCATGTAATATTCCTAGAATCCCGGCCTCGCTCTGTTACTTTGCTCTTTTCTTTGTCTTGTAGCTTTGTGATGTTGATGCACCTGGTTAACCCTTATCTGTGATAGCAGTCAACAATGTTAGCTAACTTCTCACAAGTTAACTTTTCTGCGTCTTTCAAAACCTCTTCCTGCTTTAATGCGAGTGGTACAACTTTGTTTTTGGAAATGCGTTTATTTATTGTTCTAATCCAGGGATGGCCAACCCGCGGCTCGCGAGCCGCATGCGGCTCCTTTACCGGTTCCATGCAGCTCTTGCGTTCATATAGTCGCATTCTGCCAGACGTGCAATAATGACAAAGAGTAGTCAAATGAACTGTCATTTATTGACAACAGCAGCACGCTATTACTGTTGGCCGTAACCACGCCAAAACAACACAAACAAAAAACAGTCTTTGCTTCTCTTGCAGATCTGAAAGAGCAGATCTTTTTCCACATCTGCTCTTACACAAACCTCTGCTCACACCTCTCTCTCACTGCCCCTTCCCCTCGCTCTCTCATCCATCCAATGGGAAATCATACACTCTAATTTAAATCTCTAAACAGCGTAACATCCAGTAACATTGAGCACATACCGTAGGGTCACTAGAATAGCCAACTTTCGCTTTGCTTGAGTTCAACACGATATTTTCGTCAAATGCGCATGTGCGCAGTTTTTCAGTAAGAGTAAAATAATTTGAGTAAACCTTTCGTGCTCAAAATGGCAAGGAAAAAATGCACAGGAAAACAAAAATATGAAGATGAACACAGGACATTTTGACAGAGTGGGAGAATTTATATTTTTTTGTTGAATGTAGTGGAAAGCCATTCTGCCTGATATGTCAGGTGTCCTTGTTGCATTTTAAGGCTTCAAACCTTCAGCGCCACTTCAGCTCACTCCATTAAATAACACATGTAATGTACATAATAAAAGGAAAAGTGTATTGTAAATTGTTCTATTATTGTTTGTTTATTCGGTTAAACAGAGTTTGTTTGCATGAGAGTGCACAGTGTTCATTGTTGAAAATGTCTGGCCTGTGGCCTTTGTAGTGTTTACATTAAATCTGGCTGAGCAAAAGTCTGTGAGTATGAGGAGGGATGGGTTGGTGTTCATGTGTGCCCATGGATATGATGTGGCTCTTTGCAGTAACTTGGTAAAAAATGTGGCTCTTGGTCTTTGTCTGGTTGGCCAACCCTGATCTAATCAATTGCTGTATTGTCCCCTATAACTCAACCATTGTATTGTAAGCTTTACAATGAAATTCACACTGAAGGAGAACTTAAAGTTAAACTGGATGGATTGCTTCAGTTCTCAGGGTTCTCACAGCTACTACAGAGAGCAGCTGAAATACTTATTAATAAATAAAAATTATTTATTCACTATTTTAAAGGTTTTAAAGGCTACATTAAAGGAGTTTAATGTAGCCCCACATATTTCTCTTTATGTATGTATGATGTCTGCATCTTGATCTTTGTCATATATAACTTCTGTATTTTAATCTTAGTTTTTAACCAATCTAAACCCTTCAGGTTGTTGCAGTGGTTTTGGGGGGATTTTTATGTCCTAAAATGACTGATTTTTGCAGCACCTTTTTCTTAATGTAGGAGATTTTGTCTTAGTTTTATTTTTGGCATAACATGGTCTTTCAAAAAAGCTGAAATTTCTTCACATAACCTTCTCAATAAAAAAAGGATTTTAACAAAACTAGTATTTAAAGTGCAAATAACATTTTCAACAACCGTATTTTGCGAACTTGAAGTCACTCTGGAGTATAAGACACATTAAATCAAACTGGGCGTCACAGACAGAAAATAAAACTTACCAGACTTTCATGTAAGACACAGAACCATCCAGACCATGAAAAGAAAGTGTGACTTATATAGTCCAGAAAATACGGTTCCTTCTTGAAATGGCAAATCAAATAACTCCCACCAGGTCACGTCTGAACATGTGTGCTGCTGTGACATTGTCACTGCATTCAGCGGCTTTTCAAGCAAAAAAAAAAAAGAGTCATTATTGGCCAAAATTGGTCATGCGTTTTAAAGATTTGTGATCTGCCAGAAAACTGCAGTCAGTGCACTCCTCGGTATTAATATTTTGTTTGTAATACAAAGTAATTCAAAGTTTTTCTTCTAAATACTGAAGCAATTCTATAAAGAATTGTTTGTTTGGTTAAAACTATAATGAAGTCAATGCTTGGCTGAAGTCCAAAGGAATGTTTTTATATTTCATGTCTGCAGCTGGGGCAGGAGGGAGGTGATGGATGGAGGGGGAAGAGAAGAGGAAGGAGAATGAGAGCAGGACTCTGTTTTTGTCCTTCAGTTTTATGGGTGTTTGTGTTCTTGTGACTGGTGCGGGGCCAGCTGAACACAGCGGACATGTGATGCTCACATGCAGCCTGAATAAAAAAATAATAAAGGTTGATCCACTTTCACAGCTTGCATTTGCTGCTGTTGTGCAGTGGGTTGTGGTCTTCTCTCCTCCGGTCTTAAGTCAACATGTAAAGGCTTGCTGCGCACACATCCTCGCGCGCACACACTGTCACAGCAGCCTGCGGCTAACAGCCTATTAATGCTAACAGCACACTCCTGGAAATCGATGTTTGTGAAAAGCTGTGCTGGCTGTGCCTGAGGTCAGCCTTCCGAATAGGCTGGGGATGATTTGGACTGATTGAGTTGTAACAGACGAGACGATGAGGAGGTAAGATGTGGATCAGGGCCGTGCAGAGACCTTTAGAGGGGAAGGGGCTAAACCCTCCTTCGTCGCCCCCTCTGCACGTGCCTGATGTGGATTACTCAGAACTTTGTTCTGCTTTTTTTGCTTTGGATACATGCAGAAGCCGTTTTGGAGTATGTGTAAGGATGGACCCCGTATCACTGATGACTATTAAGTAGTATTATAATTACCCTGCATGTCAAAGTAGAAATATTTATGTCTTGCATGCTTTCATTTATTTTATATGTAAAATAGTCATAGCAGTTGTAAAACGCATGCTTCAAAAGCCATTTCCATTTCAAGTGTGCTCAAAACTTTGATGATGTTCCTCTGTCAGAAAAAGAATCTAAATTTTGCGATTGTGGTGCTTTGGTTAAATGCGATAAGTCTTTAAAAAACATGCTTGCGCCGTCCTCCCCTTTCCACTTCATGTCATATTATTCTTCATGGCTTCCCCCACTGGCAACATGTTTTTGCAAATTACTAGCGGCAAAATGTTTTATTGAACTTTTTTGAAAAAAGTGTTTCTTTTAAGCATATTTGTTTTTGTAATTCCAATTCCTGCAATAATTATATGACAAATTGAATTGCAATTGCTATTGTCTGGCTGTGTTTTTGATTTTGTGATCTCGCCTGTTGTCGATTACACATCTCTGATGAAACTTTATGAGGCTTAATCAATATTGTGGAGCTAAATGCTTTGTCAGCATTTTTCTACTAGCATAACCAAAAGGCACCGAGAAAACATCTTGGGCGTTTTCCTAAAACTATCAATTTATCATTCATCAGCAATCAGGCAAATGTTTGGATCAAACATCAGTTTTCCAGATAAATTGTGTAGTTGTAAGAATTTGGTGCGCTCCACGTTCAGACCAAACTAACGACTTAATGTTTCGGGATCTTCCAAACTAAAATAAAGCTTTTAATTCATCACATGTCCATCATACAGACTCTTCTCGCTTGTCTGCTAATTGATCTGATAGCTATTAACTTGAAAACTGACAATGTGGAAAAAGATAAGTCAAGAAAAGAGGGGTTTGTTGTAATGCCTGTGGTCAAATCGATGTCAAGCAATTGTATCGCAAATGTTTGCCGTTTGTAGCCATAGCGACAGACTAAATCTGAAGTGAGTTTGATAAATTTGCAGAATTGTCTGTAGTGGAAGGCTCAAATATTTCTGTTACACATTCAGTGTTTCCTCAGAAAGTTGAAGCTTTCTGAGGTCAGTTTTTCCTAGAAAACGCTCCTGTTCTACATGGTGTCAGTGCTGCAGCCTAGATTTTTATTATTACTCTGAGGTTTTACCTTACCCGTCACTTTACCTACCGCTGTAGTACATCAAGATTTTATTTCACTTTCAGGAGACAGACATTTTCTCTTGATTGTTCGTTAGCCACTCAGAATGATCACATTTTTATGAATTACGTTTTAGTCTTAGGAAAGACAGGAAGTATTTGTTTGCCCTAAGTGGGTCATCACCTTGCAAGAATAGTTTTAATTCCTTTTTTTTGTTTTTTTATTGTTTTTACATTTGTTCCATGTTTGGAGGCTGTCAGCACCTCCTCTAAATCCAACTTGACATAGGTCTTTATTAGAGATGCATTCGGAATTTCCTTAATTTTGTGATACTTACATGGTTTCACATGTAAGTATCTTTTCTGCCTCACCAAAGGTCTAAAAATCAACTACTGTCCTCTTCTGTTCTGCCAGGAGAGAGGCAGCCCTGTCCACCACGTCATGTCTGCATGTTTGCAATTAACAGTCACTCCACTGTTATCAATTCAGCATTTTTCTTGCTATATTGGGCAACTTTTCAGTCAAAACAAAAATCAGTATTGGCCAAAAGTGGAATCGGCAGGTCAGGTTTTTTTAAAAGTCGGTAAACGACAATTGACCTGAAAACTGCTATCGGTGCACCCCTAATAAAATGCATGCTTTCCTATCAACCTATCTGTGTTTCAGCCCAGGCCCTGGAGCGGATGATGAGTCCCACGGGCCCGAGCCCGAACCCCAACGTCCCGTCTGAGTACTGCAGCACCATTCCCCCTCTGCAGCAGGCTCGCGCGGCCGGAACGCTGAACTCCCCCCCGCCCACCGTCATGGTCCCCGTCTCTGTTCTCAAACACCCCAGCAATGACGGTATGCATGATGATGTGTGTTTGATGGCTAATCTTTGATTCTGTTTATAGCCTGTAGTTAGATTTTTGCCTTGTTTCTCTGAAATGTTCACATTGAAGAAATTCCTGTTTCTCTGACTGTCATATCAGCTTGTCCACGTGAGCAAAAGCGCGTTTGGTTTGCTGACGGTATCTTGCCCAACGGGGAAGTGGCAGACACGGCCAGGCTGTCGGTGACGAGCCGCCGGAGCTCCCAGGAGTTCAGCCCAGACCCGGAACCTGTAAGACAAACATCCACAAAGCTTCACACCCATTCTTACTCAAAACAGTGTTAACTATGGGCAGAAGAAATGGAAAAATTATAATATTGCAAATTTTTATTTATTTTGTTTTTTTATGAATCCAAGCTGCTTAAGGCAACTAGAATATTCTGGAGGCTGAGGAGTCAAGTTGGTTTCCTCTGCATGTCGTGAGAACTAAACACTTTATTCTCTTTAGGGGAAATATTTCCACTTGACTTACACTAACCTCTGTTTGTATCTGTGTTGGTCAATCTTTTATGTTACATTTGATGGCAAAAAGAAGAAAAGTTTTTAAAACTATGGCAAAATAGTCAATTTTTATGTTGATTTCATTTTGTTTTTTAACCAAATGTTTTAAACTTTGGCTTGTTTAAATGTTATTTTTAAAAAAAAAAGAAAGCATATTGTTGGAGCCTGGAATGATCATCTCTTATTTCAGTCTGGCTCAGGTGGGTTGGACCCTGGAGGTGGTGCCCCATCCGTCCCTGAGGCTCCTATGGTCGTGCCGGTGGTGCGAGCTCCGGTGTCTGGACCCTGGGATTACGGGTTGCTTTCTGGAATTGGTTCTTCAGTGACAAGGGTTCCCAGTCTGCTTCCAGACAGTCAGGATGAGCTGCCTCCTCTGCTCATCACCACCGGAGAAGATGGCGGAGAAGGTGTGTGAGTGAGAATTTGAAATAAGAAATCAGTTACTGAAAGACACGGTTAGCTCAACTTTACATTGAGCGATATAAATTAAGCCCTAACAAATGGCAAAAGGAAGAACAGAATTCTCAGCAGGAGAAGATCAGCTTCGGGAAAACGTAGTGTGCTAATTACATTATTCTTGTTTTTGACTGGACTCTGAGAGACCATGAGTCCAATCAAAATCCTGACTTATACAAGTCTTAAATTAATGGAAAAGCAAAAATTCAATTACTGTTTATTGTAGTATCACCCATCACAGAAGTTAAGCAAGCCAGTGTGCTGCAAATAGTGTATAAGCTAAAAGCAGCTAAAATGCTAAGCTTTGCTAAAAATGGTATCAGTAACATGTAGCCAATCACCGCCATGTTGACTGATGTTGATTTACTCCATTCAGTATGCAGACATTATTGTAGAAGCTGAAATTAGCAACAATACTAAGATTAGTTAAATTGTAGTCAGTAGGATTTGGGGTATCACGAGTATGAACGTTTGCTGTACTAACTCTATAACATGGAGGTATAAAGCCTGGTGTTATGAGAAAAGCAGATCCCGAGATAAATTTGATTAGCAGCTGATCAAACGACCAGCTGGAGCAGAGTCTCTACTAAATGCCACATTATAGTTTGATTGTGCATTCACACCAACTCAAACAATCGTGATTTTCTAAACAAACCAACTAGTTTGATTAATTTGGCTAAACAGGGCAGGTGTGAACGCACCCTCTGTCTGGACCTTCAGGAACTGTTAGCTCACACCGTCCTGTTTGATGCTTAGATGTTTTGGTGGAGGAGAGTCCAGCTCCCTGTCAGATCCGACACCTGTTGGAGGAAGGAGGTCCACGTCCGCTAACTTTCGTTCTGAATGCCAACCTCCTTGTAAACGTCAAACTGGTTAACTGTGAGTAGAATTGTTTGCTTCCGGCATGAATGTTGCTCATTATGAAGAAACAGAGGGCCTGCCTTCTCACGCCTTGCTGTTCCCAAACAGACGTCGGCAGACAGTGCTGGTGCGTTGGCTCTAATGGACTGCAGGCTCTGGGACAGAAGGAGTTGGTGTTTCTGTTGGAGTGTTTGTCAGGAGAAAAAACGCCTCCAAGAGACCTCTTCTCACTTTATCTCAGCGTTTACCAGGATGCCCAGAAAGGTAACCGGTTCACATGCGCCCTTATTAGAACATAAAAAAAAATCTCCAAAAAGTTGCAAACCTCATTATCTGTTGCAGGGAAGTTTGTGGAGGAGTTGGATAACATTACGTTCACAAGCAGCTTCCTGGACAGCAAAGATCATGCTGGAATGCTGTTCTTCTCCCCCAGCTGTCAGTTTCTGGACGGCCTCACGCTTCCTCCACAGCCGTTCCTGTTCGGCCTGCTCGTCCAGAAGCTGGAGGTGCCCTGGGCCAAAGTGTTCCCGCTCAGACTGCTGCTACGGCTCGGAGCCCAATATGACAGTGTGTGATTTGCTTCTGCTTTTTTTTCCTTTTTTTTTGTACAACACAGCTGGGGATCATGTCCGCTGGTCACCAGGGAAGCACAGATACCCTTTTTTCCATACAGATAACTGAGGTTTAACATCAGCCGATAATTAAAAGCAGTGCTGAATTGACTTAAAACATTTCTTACTTTACAAAAATGCACTGAGTTCCAAATTTATTTGGTAACTCTGCACTAGTACAACACACCTAACTTCACAAGCTTGGTCAAACATGTAAAAGTAACACATTGTTATTTTCAGTCAGTGCAGTTAAGACTACAACAGCCAATCTAAAATAGTTAAGAAATTTACCTTCTGCAACAAACATTCTTTCAGATGTTTCAGAAAGTGCACTTATAAATTCTAAATATAATGCCAAATAAATAAGACATGACGTTTCTCAGAGAACAAAGCATGGGATTTGGCTGAATACATCTTCCCTTTTAGATCGGACACATTGTCGCCGTTACCCAATCTGGAATTCTTTTCAATATCTGGACCAATCCAGATATTTTTATCAGATCGGTTTTTATCTCTGCTGTTCACACACACACTCTATGCTAGTTCCAAATATAACATTTGGAATGTTCTTCTTCCAAATGTTATATTTGGGAAATTGTCCTATTATTGTTCATTATATATAATAATTAATAATCATTAACCCTATGTTGATGTGTGCTTATTTTCCAGTGTATCCAACGATGCTCGTAAGTGTTCGTTTTCGGGACTCTGTATATCGAGAAACGGGACACACCATTATGAATTTACTGGCTGTAAGTATCACAGCAGGTGGTTCCACTTTTTTAGGCTACACCTTCCTCATTACACAGATACACATCGTCTGCTATGATTAAATACAGTTAGCAGGCATGTTTTCCAGCTAGAACTTAGAAAATATGTCAAAAAATGATGACAGGCTCCGCCTATATAAGAGCAGATTGTCATAATGTGCTAACGGTCTTCATCCAGGACCTGAGGAACTACCAGTACAGCCTGCCAGTGGTAGAAGGCCTGAGGATCCACATGGAGATGGGACACAGCTACATTGAGATCCCCAAGGCTAGCTTTAGCGAGGTAAGCTTTACATTTCCGATTACAGCATGGTATCAAAGTTGTCTAAAAGTTCTTTTACAGAATTTCATTTCTGTAAAAGTTTTCTCCTTACCTGTCTTTACTAAGTGATCACGTGCAGGATTTTTTTTAGTAATCTTTTAAGGTCTTTTTTAGCCCAGCGTACACAAAGCCTTTGAGTACACATTGTGGACAGTACATTTAGCAGAATGGTTGACTCATACAACTGACACCAGGATGATTTCATTGCTGACGGTATCTGTGAAAACATCTTTATTTTACTTTAAAGAGAAAGCTAAAGGTGAATCAGAGTTTTCTTTTTTCCCAAGCAAACCAGACTTTCCAGGCAAACAAAGTAGAGTTCAAAGCAGAATAAAGAAAGCTGGTGCGAATGAAGTCTTTCTACAGGGTGAACTCTGATGCAGTTCGAATGCATATGTGAACCGGAGACTGCTTCAAAATTAGAAAACCGATTATGGCGCAGGGGGATTCTGATCAAACAAAACCAAAATAAATGTGCATTTCTAACAAAGACAAAAGAAAAATCCTGGCAGCACTAAAACCTGATGCCACTCAATTTTTATCTACATTTTGTGAAGAAAGAAGTTGTGGCGTATTCTGAAGACGGTGGTTTTTATGTTGTTTCCTTAAGTAGTTCTGGGTGCAGCGCCACCACAGGCGAGGGGTGGAACAGGTTTCTCAAAGGGTTTGAAGATATTAGTGATGTGTGAAAATGCCCTTAAACAAAACCTTATCTGAAAGTGTGCAGCAGTTTACCACAGGCAGAAATGCTTTTCTGTGCTCTGCAGATGCAGAAGGTGGTGAATTCCTCCAATGAGCACGTCATCAGCATCGGAGCGCGCTTCAGTCAGGAGGCCGACTCTCACCTGGTGTGTTTCCAGAACGAAGAAGGAAACTATCAGACTCAAGCCAACAGCAAGCCAGGGAAGACTCGCACAGGTCCGGCTGCTGCAAACTCATTACTCTTTGTTGGAATATTGTCAGTGCTGCAGCAGCTTGTGAAGTCCTGTATGATGAGGTTGTTTCTGTTGACCTCAACAGTGACTGGAGCCAGCTTCGTGGTGTTTAATGGCGCGCTGAAGGCCTCTTCGGGTTTTATTGCCAAGTCCAGCATCGTCGAAGGTAAAAGTTACGCACAGTCAGACTTTAATTCTAGCATATATGCCAGCGTGTAAGACAATTTGTGGGTTTTTTTTGTTTTTTTTTGCAGATGGGTTGATGGTTCAAATCCCACCGGAGACCATGGAGTCTTTGCGCTCCGCCCTGAGGGAACAGACAGACTTCCACATCCCCTGTGGGAAGAATGATGGCGGAGAGGTCCGAGAGAACGTCACGGTCCGCTGGGTCGACTGGGCCTCTCCCGTCAACTCTGGGTAACTTTACTACCAAGTCTGTTCTAACAGCCTATTAGTCAATTAATAACACAAGGAATTAAAATGAGCTCCATAATTTGTAATCTGATCACTTTTTGAAGGGAAATTTTGTCCTTAGATTCATCTTAATCCAGACAATTTATTTGACTCTAAACCAGGAAGAGAAAACACAATTAATTGTGATGAATCGATTTTTGAAATGGTCATCAACTAAGTTAATAGTTGATTAATTGTTAAGTGGGTGATTTGCTGAAAAAGCACTATATTTACAACAGTAATAAAGCCAAAACTGTATAAAATATATATTTTCCATATGATATAAAAACACCTTTGTCTGAAAAATATGTTTCAAAAAACACTCCTACATTGACAGTTTTAGCTTCTCCTGATCAAAAATTAATGCTCCATTATTGGGGTTTACCCAATAAAATGTTTGTTTCATTTGTATCTTTTTATGCATTTCTAATATAGCATTTCAAAAGTTTTTTAATTTAATTTTCCTTTTGGATCAATTAACTATTTTTGAATTTGAAAAAGGTTCAAGTGGTTAAATGAAAAATTTGTAGGCCACTGTAATATTTTTAAACTGGTTAATCGATTAATCTTCAGAATATTCATTAGTTGAAGCCCTAAACCTGATGGTTTGTTCCTCAGAAGTCAAGATTTGTGAAAGCGTTGTGTTTCCACATATGCATTAATGTCATTCTAGATCTGTGGTTTTGGTGAAATTTGACAAAACTGATTAAATTTTAAAAGTATAATTGTGATTTTGATTTAATTACCGCGACATAAATTTATCCAGTGGCTTTCATTTATTTAGTGTTATTTTTGTGTTGACCAGTAAAACCAGTGGGGTTGATGGGAGGCCTCTGGATGGCGTCCCCAGCGTCAGAATGCAGCAGGATGCAGAGTTTGAGTCCGACAGCCGCTCCATTAGATGCACCGAAGTGAGTTTTATTTCTTCTTTTGTTTTGTTTTTTTGTTGCGTTTTCCCGAGCAGAATATTTCTTCTGCCACTTAAAATCTGAAGACGTGTGACATGAGCGGATCTCTGCAGGTCTTCTACCAGCTGAAGGCTCCAGACTGCAGCCTGGCATCCGTGCTGCCGTCCTGCAGCATGTTTCAGAAGGAGATCGCCATGGCGACCTGCAGCGCTCTGGCTCCTCACCTCTCAGTTCTGACCGCAGGCGGCATCAACTCGCTCTGGCTTCGCATCTCCACTCAGGCTGACATGGTAAAAACTGAAGCGCAGCGTTTGGAGGGCTTGGCTCCAAACGCTGACATGAGGAAAATGTCTAAAGATCAAAAACATTTATTTACATTGGAGTCATTTTCATGGCTACATTGTAGTCGGTAGCATTGTTACCGTCAGCAAGAATAATTTTTGGTTTAGTTTCTAGTGGAAATATCTTAGTCCACTTGAAATAAGATAAAACAAACTCAAAAGTAACTTTTCAGGCAGATATAGGAGCTTGTTCGTAATTGTTACGTTAGTCTTTCTCAAAAGCTTTTTGTATGTTAGTTTTGTCTTATTTCAAGTGTTCTAAGATATTTTCACTAGAAAATAGACCAAAAATACTATTTGAGATTTTGTGTTTTTAATTTTGTGAAATTAAATAAATGTTTGCAGTTTCTTTTTCTGGTTTGAGGTTTTTTTTCTCCTCATGATGCAGAACTCTGGCGCCCCCTTTGGGAAGGCAGCCCCACACTTTAACAGCCCTGTCATAGCACAATATTGACATAATTGTGATGTGGAAAATAAAAAATTAAAAAACAGACTTTTATACTTTTTTAAAAGTCAGTTTTAAAGAAGTTAAAATAGACTCCCTAGTCTGTAGACACACTAAAAATAAATGCATTAGCTGTTTATGGTTGTCCTCAAATGCATGCCACACTTTTCAGATTGACGGTAATGTTTTTGCGTGTGCGTTTGCCCACCCAGGTGGAGTACCAGGCGGGGTCCGGAGGCCGGCTCCTCCCCCAGCGCTACATGAACGAGATGGACAGCGCTCTGATTCCCGTCATTCACGGAGGGAGTGCCAGCGTACCGCAGACCGCCATGGACATGGAGTTGGTCTTCTACATCACACACACTTTCCAGTGAACAAAAACGAAACACCACCCACTCAAAAGTATTAAAAAAGAAAATAAACAAAAAAAAGAAAAATGTAGACCCCTCAAGAGGATGGATGTATTTTTAGTGGGATGCAAACTTTATAGAAAATGGATTTCTGTCGTCACCAAAGCTGCTTCGCCAAACACTAAACACAGAAAACAAGAACATGGCAGCAAATCGCTCTGATCAGCTCTGCCTTCCTGGCTCTCTGGGAGCTCCTCTGTGAATGTCACTACACACCTTCTCTTAAAACAAGAAAAAAAAGTCATCTGGATGTATTCATTATTTAAAACGGGCTAACTGAATGAACTGACAGCAGAGAAGCTGATGTTCTTGTGAAGGCATTCTGGAAGGATGAAGAATCTGCTGAAACACAGAAACACAACTTCTTTCTGTCCACATGGGGACTTTTTTTGTTTTGAGGGTCGTGTATTTTTTATTTTTTTTTATTTAAATTATTTTTTGGTTTTCCATCCATACACTTGTTTAGGGTCGCTGTTTATTTCTCTCAGCGCAAAAGAGAATAGTAAATTATTAACATAGTTTGGATTAAAATCGTACCAAAATCAAGACAAAAAAATTTTTTAAAAACCAGCATGTTTCACAGCAACATATTCAGAGTAACAAAACCGGGAAGAAACGCTACAATTGAACGCAAGTCGCATTTATTTTACAAACCAAAAGTCCAACTTGACTGGATATTTTTGCTAGCTCAGATTCAGTTCTGCTTATGGAGCCTTTTTCCTTTTAGTCTATGATGGTTATTCATTTATTTGGAAACACAGAGTATTTTTATTTATTTTTTCATAAAAACATGAAATGTGTAAAAAAAATTACAGCGTCCCCTGGGAGACATGAGGATTTTATTTTTCTTTGCGTTCCCTCGCTATAACGCATTTCATGCGCAATTTAAAATTCTAAAAGGTTTTCTGGTACAAAATAATTTTTGCAAAATTTTTCCAGGCATGCTCGTATCTTTTTAGTTTTTATACCCGTTTCTTGTGAATGCAGACTTACCGCAAACTTATGTGTGTCCCTACTTATATAAATATGACAGAAACTTTCTGTAAGAACAAAATGATAAAATCCATCCAAAATATTTAGTGTATTTTTGAGTTATTTTCGCAGGGTAATATCGGCCATTTGACAGTTTTTCTGGTCGTCTTTTTCACGTCGGCAGTCTGAATAAATGTCTGTTTTCGTTTGCAGTCCCGGCTCCACCGAGACATATTACACAAACAACGACGAGAAGCAAATTTTCTGCACTGGAGTTAATAATGAGCACGCTTTCACTGAGGCTCTTTGAAGGTAGTTTTAGTTTTAAGTTGACATTTTTCACTGTGACTGCATATAGAATAGATCAGGGTGTTTTCACAAATTTACTCCGAGGGAACGCAAAAAAAAAAAAAAAAAAAAAAAGGAAAGCTGAGTTTGTTCGAACCGTCTTCTTAACATCTTCACTCTGAATGTTTTATGAGTCGACACCAAGGCTCTTGAATGTATCTCTTTAATGCTCCTCCTGTCATCCCATAGCTACCGATCTCATGTAGACCTGCACCGATCACTATCTTGTAGCCAGTTTCAGATCCCTGGGGTTTGGAAAGCTTTCATCGACTTCAGCTGATTCCACTTCCTCATTCAGGACTTAAAGGAAGATTTACAGAGTGATTATTAATTATTTATGTTACCAGTTGAGATGATGTGGCACCGCTGAGTGAGTAAAACTATTTGAGAAAAAGCACAAAGCATGCATTTTAAGTGCTCTGCTTCATCTTATATCAGCAAGTAGCCTGGCTAGCAGTAATAACCAGCTGGTCCTAGAAATGAAATCATTTTTTACATAAAATTTTATTTCCGATATTAATTGATATATATATATATTTTGCTTTAATAAATTGTGTTTGACAGAAAGTATATATATGAAATAACATTCGTGACAAAAAAAAATCCAAATTTTAAAATAAATTCCAAAACAAAAATTTCAGTTAATCAATAAAATGGTTTTGAATATGATAAAACCGTAAATCTTGGCTGTAATATGCTCAGCCTTCCTGTTCCCTTTCTAAAACAAAGTGTTTCCTTTCTCACAGCTTGAACCAACCGCAGACGTTTTTGGTATTATTTCTAAACGCTTTTGACGTCTCTGTACTCCTTGACACTGCACCAAAGGAACAACTTCCACACTGAAGAGTCTTGCTGCTTCTCTGTAGCGCTTAGGCTTTGGTAGGGCGCGTTCACTGTTTGAAAAAAGATCCAACTTTAGCGTTTCAGATCAACATCAATGTCTCTGTTCGCCTCCTGTCATATCGTCACCTTCCTAAAATGATGGTAGCAGTCCATTTTTTTATGCCAAAAGATAATTTAAATGTAACAAAATATATAATGTTTAGCAAAACAAACCCCTACACCAGCTGTTATTTTAAGCAGGTGACGATATGGAAACTAATCATCTATGCATCCTCAGCTGATCTGTCATAACTCATTAACTATGCATTTAATTTAAAGGTTTTTTTTTCCCAGTATCTGCTGTGAAGGAATAGTAGGTGGAGCCTAACCAGATCAACTGAAGCTGACCAATCAGAGGAAAGCATCCAGTACGACCCTGATGGCAGAGAGTAGCTTTGTTCGCTCATCTATTTTTCTAGTTTAGGATAAAAACCAGTGTTTGACTTCTTCTCATCCATATGTATAAAAAATGTGCAGAGATTATATATGTACAGAAGGACAAAAAAACCAATTTTTTAATATTGCAGAGATATTTTTGGTATAACTGATTTAAAAAAAAAAGAAGAAGCAAATCTAGTTCAATGCGAATGTTTTAAATCTGCAACCTTGACCCTCCCTCTGCAGGTTGTAGTTTAACCGTCAGCAAACAGAGCCAGGGGAGTTTTGTGCTTCGGGTTAGTGTGTGCATGACTTGGGCTATTTGCTGTTTTGTGTCAATCGGTGATCAATAAAAGAGGGGGGGAGATGAAGAATATATATTTTTAATTGATAAAAATCAGCGTTTAACTGACCTGTAAAGCTTCGCTTTTTTGTTTTGTTTTTTCTAGTTAGGATTTCTTCAGATGAGTCAGAGCTGAATTTTTCGTCCCCACAACGTTCGATCTTCAGCTAATGACAGGTGGATGTGTGACAGGAACTGCTGGGTGGACACTAAACTTCCCTTATTTTAACTTTAACATCTAACATTTTAGATCTTTTAGCTGCAGAAATACAAAATAAAGAATGAAGAAAAAAAAAAAAAACTCAAGTAATGCTGATGCTTCTGGATCTGGGCCAACAAAATGTCTGCCTGCACACAGAATGAGTGCTGAGAGCAGCAGAAAATTTAATAAACATAATTTCTTCAGACTTTAGAGTCGTGGTCCTGCTCTTAAGTAATCAAAATCTCTGCTTTCATTTACTTAAAAGTCAAGTTATTCTTTTGGATTAATTTGTCACACATCATGAATTTACACAGTTTTATCTGTTATCGTGGACAAAGTAATTTATTTATTTTTTTTAATCTTAGGTGATGCATGATGTAAATTATCTGACGTCAAAGCGGTGGAGTTTGATTTGTATCGATCCTCTCCAAAGTACACGTCCATTTCAGCGCTGAACTCCCGGTCAAAGATGTCCGTTTCCCTGTCCTCTCCAGCGAGGGCAGCTGGGAAATGCAGTCCTGATGAATAATTTCTTCCTCTGTTGATTGGAACAGCTGCATTATGTCAGGGTGACAAAGACTTTCTAGGCTCTCTGATTGTGATTTCTTGTAAATCATCTATTTATTCATGACACCAGCTTTATTTTGGTGGGTCTAAATAGCTTGTGTATTTAAATAATAAAATTACTTTTTGTGGAAAAAAAAGTCTGTGATGTGCTTTTCTTTTTTCTCTCTCTCTCTTTAAGCTGAACCCGACTGGTAGGGATAAATACAGACTAACTCATTTTATTTGAGGGATTTTAAGATCTTTTGGTTGTTTCTGCATTCATTAATTTTCACCAATACTGGATTATTTTCTTTTTTAACTAAAAGTAATCATTTCTTCCTGTAGCAGCTCCGTGCAGAACCTTCCAGCTGTAAATATTAAGAGACCAGCACAAATGTGTGTAAAATTATGAAGCGGAAAGAAAAGAAAAAACTGGTTTTCAGACAATTTCAGTTCAAATTCAGACCTTTCCTTTGACATGCCAGAATTCAATGATCTGCTGAAAATGAGTGTTAGATTTCATAAACCTGACTTTTATGGACGAAGAAATCCTGTTTTAATGCCAGACTTTAAATCTGCAGCATTTAACTTTCATTAAGAAACGTTTGCTTTTTGTTGTTTTTCTTATTTTTTGCCACAGCTCCGTACTGTGGCTGTAAAGTTGACCCAGCACTGATCAAAACCAAACCAGAACGTTTTGACCACATTTTGCGCAATGGAAAAATGGCATCACTCTGATGTGATGGTGGCAGCGTCATGCCGTCCTTCAGAAGAAAAAAAAAAAACTGGTCAAGTTGGATGCAGCTAAATTCAAAGCAATACTGGAGTTTACCTAATGTTTTTCTTTTTGTCTAATTTCTAGTAGAAATATTTTGCTCCACTTGAAATTAGACGACTAATTTGAGTTTTCAACAAGATATAGGAGCTTGATTTAAGTCAATAATTCCTTCATGTTGATGGAAAAATGTCTGGTTCCATTAGCAGATACATTTATTTTTAACGACATGTAAAACAAAAAAATAAAAAAAAAATCTTTCTATTTTCATAATTTTGCATTGCTTCATGTTTGACGCACAAATTCCAATCAAATGCGTTTAGATTTGTGTTTGCAGTGAGATAAGATATGGTTAGAAATTCTTTCGCTAGGTTCTGCAGTGAACTGCTGACTCGATGCAATCTACTGGGTTTCCTTTTTAAACTTCTTTGAATAATGAATTGAGCACATTGCGTTTAAACTTTTTTTTTTTTTGCAAAGTGCCTTTAGATGGATTTTGCTATATAAATAAAGTGAACATTCCTCAAATCAACTAGATAAGAACCATATTTTATGAGAAACTTTTTCCTTTTTTTATTATGTAAGTAACAGCAGATTGCAAACACTTGTTACCCAACCGTATTTATGTAATCTGTTGACTTGGATCGATGGTGGCAAGCATTACCACTATATGCTCTTCTGGTTATAACCAGAAGAAAATCACTACTTACAAGGGATTAGTTAATCAAAATTAGCCTAATATTTTATAAAAGAATCAACTCGAGTTTAGTGGGGTTTTTTTTTTTTTAGTTTTTCAGCTCTGCTGAAGGTTTCATCAGGTGACCAGTGGGAGCAGGGTGAAAGTCCACCTTCCTTTGTGAGCATAACTGGGAGACAGTGAGTGGAGGCGTGCCATTTTCACCCGTCTACCTGTGTTTACCTCCTCCAGCTCTCATTCACAGACCGCAGCAGCAGCAGCAGCTGCAGCAGCAGGGCCGTCGGAGCGACGCTTCAGCCGAGACATGAGCGGACGAGTCGGAGACCTGAGCCCCAAGCAGGCCCAGACCCTCACTCAGGTCAGAGATGATTCCCCAGTCTGGAATGTCTGCTGGAAATTCTGGGAGGCTTTTTGTAAATGACGTTGGTTTTTTAAGTGAGGCTGACATCAGTAGGTTTGCACTGATCCAACTTCAGATACTCTCCCAGTGAAAACTTTGACTGTTATGTGCTGATGCTCTGTGTTAAAACTTACAAACCCACAACCAAACGCGGTTTCTTGGAACTACATTTGTTTTTCCAGACAATCTTTATCACAGGTTGTGCAAAGTTCCTCCTTATGGGTCAGAGCTGTTTGTTCTCCAAAGCTTTAATCTGTGAATACATGTAGTACATTCACAGCTTCTTTCAAATAACATCTTCATGTTTTCTAATGGTCAATATTGACCATTTGCGTTTATTTGAACTCTAAACTAAACGCAGATGAGCTTGGATTTGAAAACGTGTATTTAGGTTTATCCACTTAATTTCAGTGAAGCAAAAATGGATTTAGCATGACAAATAATGACTCTCTTTTTAAAAATGAGCAGAAATAGAAGCTTTTACTGTGCAAATTGTAACAATGTGGTGACAAATAAGGACCAAATATGGACAAGAGGGCTGTTAAAAAGTCCATAAAATGTTTCGAATTGTCAGAGAAGGATAACCTGATAAAATGAAACATAATCATGCATTTCCTGATTGTTGAGAAAATACAAAATTCAGCTTTGAAATGACGGTTTCATTTGAGGGGAAAAGCTTTTCAAACCGTCCTGCTTGAAAACTAATCGGCCCCTGCAGCTAATAACCTGCTGGGCCGCCTTAACACAGGCGGCCCATCAAGTGTTTGTTTGGAGTACTAATGAGTCAATTTACACCAGCAGCGCATTCATGTTCACTGAAGCTGATTTTCCTTCTTTTTAACTCTTTGTGACAAAGAATTGCGCCTTGGCTTTGCTTTCAGTTTCGGGAGAGGATTCAAGATGTCCTCCCCAGCCTGCCCGCTCAGCATGACCACTACCTCCTCCGCTGGCTCCGAGGTGAGTCTGTTAGTCGCCTTTTCCTTTTCACACCAATATTCAGTGTTTGAATATTTCAGACTGTAGTATTTCCACTGGTATTTTCGCACAAGATTGTCAATCCATACGTGTCTATTTCTGCATTGTGCCTTATATAAACTCATATTGAAAATTATTTATTTCATAGCTTCATTCACTAAAACATTACTTCGATCATTTAGACACAGTCTGATGTTTTTAAGCCTTTATTTCTATTAATTATGACGATTTCCCGCTTCCAACCGATAACAGATTCAGGGGGATGTTCAGGGCAAATATAGACGTGTGCTTTTTGGTCTGGGAGGTCTGTAACATTTGATTTTTACTGCTAATATCAATTTTACAAAACACAATATGATTAATTTTGTAACTGACAGCGCCACATTTTTAAAACATTTCTGTGAACAAAAGAAAAAAATGTTCTGGGGGCCCCTTGTCGGTCCTAACTTTTCCCCCCCATACGATGACCCTGGATTGCAGCAAGTGACGCAACAATTGGATTAAATGAACAATTGTTCATTTAAAACTAATGCATATTATTATGGATTAGTTTAAGAACCTTTTAAATGAATGTTTCACAAATGGCATTTTGGCAGCAAAGAGTTCATCATGTGGTAATTTGAAGGAAATCTGTTTTCTCAATCAGCTCAAGTTGTTCAAAACTGATAGAAACAGTAAGTGTATAAAATTATGTTTCAGTAGCTCTGCGACTGTAATTTTATGTTTCTGTCAGAAGCTTCTGAAAGCTGTGGTCTGTCTGGTTAATGGTCCACAGTCAGAGCAGGCTGAGATCAATGAAGAGAGGTGTGTGTGTGTCTCCACGTGTGCGTGGGTGTGCGTGTGTGTGTGGGTGTGTGCTCACCGCCTGTTTGACTTTGACCAGTTTCTCTGCCTGCTAAAAAAACAAGCTTAAAGTTTGAAACTGTGTCAAAGGCACTGCTCAGAAGACACTGTATATGCATTTTTCTATGTGTGAAATATAAAAAAAAAGTACCTAATCCCTTCTGCAAAAATTTCACTGTTGTCATTTTGGAGACAGCAACTGATGTGAATGTCTCTGTTCCTGAAAGGTGAGGTTATTCTCTTCCCACCATTTAGAAGCTTCAGTTTGTGTCCCCAAAAATATCCATTCCAAATCCATCACACTGCTCCACATTAAATAAAACTATAAATATTAGTTTTATTTAGAAAGTAAATAAACATTCCTTCTTTTGGATTAATTCAATGCCATTTCTCCTGCCCTTGTTTCAGAGTGAGCCTGAGTAATGGAAGCTATTTGATCTCCGAGCTTTAACATAAAACACAAATATTAAAACGAAATCTTGCTCTGCTTCAAGTGATAGGCATCAAATATACATTTAAATGTTTTTTGCTCCAGAGAGTGAGTCTGTGTTAAAAACAATCTCGGGCCACAGGTTTTGCCTAGAGGGTGTGTTCAGATCGGCCAATGACGGTGTGCAGGTATGAAAAAAGCAGTGATTGGTTGAAATCACTGGCCCACACACTTTCATATGCAAACACAAGTTATGTCTCTCTACCTGTACAAGGTCTTTGTATTGACTTCCATTCATTTCTATAGCCTAACTTTGACCCTTAACCGTCATCAGACCTTAGCTAACCCTAAGCTCAATTCACACCTGAGTCCTAAACCTGAACCTTAACTCCAAAACAGTTCTTCTCCTCATAAGCAGTAGGTCCTCATAATGTATGTGTAGGAACATCATCCTTACAATATACAAATGCAAGAACACAGACACTCAACTGCATGCAGCAGGAAATGGACTTTAGCACATGATCTCTGAGCAGTCTTGGTAGCTAGAGAAGAGGTGCTTGTTTGTATTTTTACCCATATTTAGGACTTTGTACTGGCTTCTATTCACTTGAGTAACTTCTCTTACCCTCACACCAGTATCTGTACATTCCTAACTTAAACCTTAACCAAAACTTTATTTACACTATACCTTTAAATCTAACCTTTAACCCTGAAACGTGTGCTCCACCACATACGGTCAGGGTTTGGCCCCCATAAAGCACATTGGTCCTCAGAAGGTTATTGAATATACTGGAAAAGTTCCTAAATAAGCAGCATGTATGTCTTTAGGGTGTAGCTTAGATAAAGGCCCAAAAGGAGCTGTTGTTAGGGGACATTTTACTGTGTTTGACCACAAGGAAAGCAGGACAATGGACCAGCACTGTTTTGGCTATTTTGGTCTTAAGAAATGGAATTTATGAATTTAGTTCACTGACTCTTCTTGAACCTCCTACATTCAGAACCTAAATAGAGATAATAATGGAGGCACTGCTGGGATTTGAACCCAGAATCCCCTGTTTACCAAACAATATTCCAGAAACACCTGAATTTTATTTTATTTCTTTTATCAAATTTGGGGATTTTCTCCTTCTCCCCCGAAGATATAATACAATTATTTATTCCAAACAGTTCATATAAATCCTGTGTTTCTTGTTGTTAATAAATAAAACCAAACAATATGTCTCTAAAAGGTCATCAGCGTGGAATATCAGAGAATATTTCCGGACACCAGTATCTCCTTCAAACTGAGACAGACTCAGTTTGAAGGAGACATAATTCCCAAGAGGAGAATGACTTCATGTGTTCTGCGCTGACTGAAATAAAACATTCATGATTTCACATGGATGCTCTCTCTTCTGTTTCCTTCTTCCCAGCTCGTAACTTCAATCTTCAGAAATCAGAGAACATGATCAGAAAGGTGAGATTTTTGAGAAGTCTCTGCTTTGCGTCTCAGACTCAGCTCAAGCCTTTACATTTTTACGAAACATCCATTATGTAACATCCATTGCTTTTGACTTTATTGATTTTTACCTACAGACTGCACGAGGAAGTTACATAACATATAGCATTGTTAATAATTGAACAGGAATTTCTCAAATGTTTTTTGTTTTTGGCCTTCATTAGTGAACTTTTGACATATGAGCATGTATAAACCTGCAGTGGAGATTATAATCTCTTCTGCCAACATTGGTTGAGGCAGCAGCATCAGAGCTAAAGAAGCTCAACGACCCGATAAAGAATGCTGGTTCTGTTCTGTGGAATGCCTGGAGATGACGGAGCACATGGACAATCCATACAATCCAGAAAAGTGTCAACAACTCTCACTGTCCTCTTTATGAAACTGTTGTACAACAACAAGGGGTTTTCAGTCAGAGTGTTTCTCAGATGTGCTGTGATACTGACTGCTGTAGGAAATACTTCACAGCCACCATAATCTACAATAAGTCTTTGAAGAAAATTGTGTACTATGACATTTAAGTACTCTCGGGGATTAAGGAAGAATTTCTGGACTGAATTTGGTTGTGCTGGATTTTAATTAGGGATATCAGAGTTGAAAGAGTGAAATAAACATGTACACCACACTTTTGAAATTATTAAAATGCATGCATCCTGTGTTGATTTATTCCATAAGACAACTCAAATAGGTTGTAATTATAAGAACCAAAAACTTTACTTTAAAAGAATTCACTTTATTTGTCATCTTTACACAAAGACTAAAACAGTTTGAAAAAGATTTAAAATGAACCAAATTCCTTTAAGTTTTTCATCATTAGTTTTATTTCCTGGTTTTTGAGAGACTTATTTCTTCTTCTGCTTCCTTTTCCTCTTCTTACAGCATGTGGAGTTCAGGAAGCAGATGAAAGTGGACACCATCATAACTGACTGGAAGCCTCCAGAGGTAACTCGACCCCCCCAACTCCTCCACTCGTCTTCTCAGGCGTCTGCGATGTGACACCCTCCACTCCGTTGCCTTGTCATTTGATGACGCTCACGCTTGTCCTTCCCAAGGTGATTGAGAAGTACGTATCTGGTGGGATGTGCGGCTATGACCGAGAGGGGAGTCCCATCTGGTACGACGTCATCGGCCCTCTGGACCCCAAAGGCCTGCTGCTGTCAGCGAGCAAACAGGACTTCATGAAGACGAAGATCAGACACATCGAGATGCTGCAGCGGGAATGTCGGAGGCAGTCTGAGAAGGTCTGGGTCAAGCTCACCTCTCACGTCTAAACCTAGACCCACTTTTTCCCTCCTTTTTGACCGCATTCTTTCACCTTCAAACTTTGTTTTCCCTTTATCTGTTTCTATTCTCTGAAACTGAAAAATATCCCTGCAGACATGAATTGCTTTGATCACATAGTCCTGGTGTTGTTTTCTTTCTACCAATATCTTCAGCTTTTCATTTGATTCAGCCCAAAGCTATTTATCCATTATTTTCAAATACAATCCTTTGGTAAGGTAGCTGTACATGTCGCACTTTGAGCTCACACCACGGCAAATAACGGTCGCTTAAATGCAGCTCATTGCGAACCTTTAGGGGGACGAGAGAGAAAGGCTGATCTAGACTCACTTTTTTCCCTCCATTTTATCCTTTTTTCCCTTCCTCTGTTTCCATTCTCTTCCCCTCATATTTCCTCTCCTTGTCTCTTTCTCCAACATGTCCTCTCTGTCTGCCGCAGCTTGGGAAGAACATAGAGTCCACCACTCTGATTTATGACTGCGAAGGACTTGGACTGAAGCACATTTGGAAACCGGCTATCGAGACTTATGGAGAGGTTTGTCGCTCGCGCTCACGTTCATCACACGCTGTGTCTTAAAGCCTTATTCTGTGTCTAAGCTGCTCTTTATCTCCTGCAGATCCTCACCATGTATGAAGACAACTACCCTGAGGGGCTAAAGAAGGTGCTTCTCATTAAAGGTACCTCAACTGATTTGCGACATGGTCTCGCTGTTGTTGTCCAAGTTGTGTTTTCAAGTTGCAGTTGAAAAATTTCTTTATTTTGTTATTTTTGCTGCAGCTCCTAAAATGTTTCCGATGGCCTACAACCTGATCAAACACTTCCTGTGCGAGGAAACGCGACGGAAAATCATGGTTTTAGGAAGTAAGATGACTCTCCTTCATATCTCTTAAAAAAGTATAATGTCTCTGGTTTTGCAGTTTAATGCTAACTTTTATTGTTCCTTGTGTTAAATTATATTGGTTTCTGCTTTTTATTACAGAATTAATAGCAATTCTGCAATAAATAATAATAATAGCGATAAATAAATAATATTTTATTTAAATCATTGAACTCTGATTATAAGATTACCACTGGACTATATCGCAAAGAAAGGGAAACCTATGACGGAATATTAGGCTAAGAATTTTTTATTATTCAAAATTATGTTACAAATAATAAATGATCATTTTAATATGTTACAAATTATGTCCAAATTATTTGTTCCCTGGATTTCTATGGTTTTATTGATTTGTTCTCCAAACTGTTTGGCTGTTTGCAGGTAACTGGCAGGAAGTGCTGCGGAAGCACATCGACCCGAACCAGCTTCCTGTGGCATATGGAGGAACCCTGACCGACCCCGACGGAGACCCTCGCTGCAGAACCATGGTGAGAAGAGAAACCCTGAAACAAGATCCAGTTTGTTTGGAAGGTTCTGACTGAAATGATTCATCCGTTGCACTTCCAGATCAACTACGGCGGGAACGTTCCCAAGTCTTACTACGTGCAGGAGTCGCTGAAGGTTCAGTACGACAGTAGCGTCACCGTCAGCCGCGGATCAAGCTTGCAGCTGGAGTTCGACGTTGCTGCCCCCAGCAGCCTCCTCAGGTATGACAGCAGGTGCAGAAATCTGGTCTGAAACGCACTGAGGAATAACACGCATTAAGAGAAACAACTCTTTTATTCAAATAATGATTCAATTATTTGAATTCCTTTCTTAGACAGGAACCCAGTTCCTCCATTATTATTATTATTATTATTATTATTATTATTATTATTTATTATTATTATCGTCACAGTTCTGATTACAGCAACAAAAATTTGGGAAAAATGTGTATTAAGAACTTTGTAGTTACTGATGGATTCTTGTTTATTTTAGAAAAAAATATAATACCTGAAATATGCAAAGAACCTTCCCTTATTACTGCATTACATTATGTATTCTTAATTAAAACTTTCGGGCTTCAGTATCTTCTGTCCTTGCAGCTTCACTGTCTCCACCCATCTCCGTCTCATTAACGTCTTTTTTCTAGCTCTAAAATTAAATGAGACTAAAATGTTTTATTGTTAGACTTTGTATTACTAAAATTATTTGCAAGTTTGATCAAACATTTATGTAAACAAATTTAATTAGTTTAGTCATAGCAATTAGGAGTAGAACAGCCAATGGAAAATAAATGAAGAAACTGACAGACACAACAGATCTGCCCTTATGGATCAGGCACCTCGTCACCGATACCAGACCTAGAATATTTTTCAATATTGGGACCAATACAGATATCAGGATCAGTAACACGTGTCAGTTATGTTTTAGTACATGGAGGGAATGTGTTTTAAAAAACAAATGTATCAGTAGAATAAGATGCCGTGCTATTCCCCGCTAGGTGGCAGTTTGCCAGTGATGGAGCAGACATCGGGTTTGGAGTGTACCGCCGCACCAAGGACAGCAAGAGTCAGAAAGTAGCCGAGATGATGCCGGTTCTTCCTAGCGAGCGGTACAATGCTCACCTGGTCCCAGAAGACAGCTGCCTCACCTGCTCAGAGCCAGGAGTCTGTTAGTAATCACTTGTTTTTCTCAGATTCATCTGAATGTTTGTCAAGAAAATTGGTCAAAATGTCTGCATCTCTGCATATGAATGTAAGTGTGAGGGGGTGAATGTGGTTCGGGTGTAAAGAGTTTTGAGTGGCCATTGTGCTAACTGTGGCTAACTACATCCCTCGTCCCTTGCAGATGTGCTGTGTTTTGACAACAGCTACAGCGTCCTCCAGTCCAAGAAGGTTAGCTACAACGTGGAGGTGATTCCTCCTGGGGATGAACAGCTGCAGACTCCGTGCAGCAGAGGGGACGTGAGGCTGCAGTGAGGACACGCAAACATTACATCTCACATTTTGGTCACCTGTACTGGATTTAACCTCAGCGTCTCTCAGTGCACTGCGTGTTAGTTCCTAATTGTTTTGGGCCTTAATTGGCCCAAAACAATTAACAATTAAAGCTGATTAATGTGAGGATGAGAAGCAGTGCTGTGAATGCAGTGCACTGCAACTGTCCCAAAATGATTCAGAACTGAACCACAGAGGTCGGTTCAAGCAAAGTAAAGTTATAATAAATTCTCATTTTAATGAACAATCATTTTTTTCAGATATTTATTTTTGGATCAATATCCTGCAAGATTTGCTAGATCATGAACCCAGCTGCACATGCTGTCTATACTGCCATCTACAGGTCAGTTTTGGGTGATCCAACGTCACCAATAACAGTTTCCTCACACCACCTGGTTGTGTTTTCAGCACTTTGCTAAACGTTGTTGAGTTCTACTTTTACATTTAATGTGCATAACAGTAGGACCTGTCCACTTCACCAGAGGTGGAGCTAAAAATTGCCCGCTGCTCACTCAGGAGTGGCGAACTACTGATTGGCATCGGAGTTCAGAGCACAACATCAGTATTTTCCAAATTCAATTCAAATGCAATTAAAAAATACTGTATTGATTCCAAAGAGAAATTTGATTAATTTACTGTAAATGAAATATATTTTCTTATTGTATGACTGTATTCATACATTTATGCTCTCTAACCATATTTCACTGCTGCCACCACATGTTCTGGAGGTGAACTGCAGTAATGCCTTTTTGTCATTCTGAAGCCTTTCTGTTCTTGTGATTGGTGTTTGTTTGAAATACCCACTTTCATCCAAGCTAAAAGCTCCTGACTGACATCATGAGATATTATGATACCACCTACACTATTGTGTACAGTGCACCAGCCTATAGAGGGAAATCTTTCCCCCACATGCTGCTGACACCTCCTTTCTTCATAGTTTCTGTGAAGAAACACCAGATTTTGCACACCAAAGCATGTTCTTCTGGAGAGAATCTATCTGATTTCTGAAAAGACTCTTTGAATTTTTACCAGCTGTTCAGATTTGGATAGAATTATTTGAATAGAAAAACTGCATCTCCTAAAGTCTTTTGGAAATTGTACCCATCTGAACTGACTTTTTCCCCCTTGATGTTTTATCATCATGCAGGGCAGGGGCCTCTCCGGAGGAATCTGCATAAAGCGTTGCCTTAGCATATATTCACTGACTGATAATAAGTGATTATTCATATTTTGAAGTAATGTAAATATCTAATTTTGATATTCTTTGTGTGAAATCTGTTAATAGAACCACTTGACTGATCTGTGTGTGTTGAGCTGTTTTTAATAGCAGCCCAAAATAAAACGCATGAGGGAGGCGCAAGACAGACGCCACTGAAGTATTGACTCTGCAAGCAGGAAACTGTTGGGGCATGTCGTAAACGTGTAATAATTTATTTTAATTTATGAAAGCTTCATTACATCAAGGTCATCAATGTTGAAATGTTGCAATAAAAACCTGTTCTGTTTAAATATGCCAAATTGCTTTTTTTTATTGAACTTTATTTTATTTTTTCACAAATACCCCATCCTGTTGTGCCTGCAAATGTATAAAATTCGCTTATTAACAACTGATCAATATTTTCCTATCAGAATCAACTTGATTCGCCGAGTTTGTGCACTTAACAGATTTGATTTCAGTACCGCTGAAAACCGCTGATATGACTTATGTCATATAAACACATTTATAGGACATAAATCATATACAATTCAGAACTATGAACCCTCACTTGTCTCGATCTTTCATCTAATCTCGAGCTCTGATGGCTAATAATTAATGTGTCCACCAGGTGGCGCCTCGAGACAAGATAAGGGATTATTGGATGTATTACGTAATAGCTGATCAGTGACTATTAGGATCTAACTAATAATAAAAACAATACATACAAAAAGACTGAGGGCGGATTAACATCGAGACGAATGATTTTTACATTTTAAATTAAATTTACAGATTTAATTATTTTTTTTTTCTTTGCTGTAAAATAAAATCCGCATTGTTCCACAGAGACAGCCTGGTTACGTAACAGAAAAATAATTAATAGTGTAAGCACAAGAGGGACTCCGGCTGTGGAGGGAGGGGTGTGTGCTCCCAGCAGCCCGGACCGGGCTCGGTGCCAGGGGGATGCGGGACGGTGCTGGTGGGGTTGCTACTGAGGCCCTGTCGAGTTTTACATAACAGCTGCTGGCTCACACACCAACTGAGTGACAAACCGCTGGCCGCAGCACAACACGCAGCGTCCCTCCTGCCGCGTGCCGCAGTGCCCCGGTGTCCAGCAGGGAGGAGGGGAGCGAGCGCGCGCTCCTGACTGTGCGTCACGTACAGGAGACAGTTGGTGGCACGTTTGTTTACCAGCCATACCTGCCGTCGTCCGGTTGGGGCTGATGCCGTCGGTGTCGGTGTGTGTGTGTGTGTGTCTCTGTGAGTGAAGAGAGATGGAGGGCCGGAGGGAGGCGGAGCCGCTCGGACAGGAGTAAATGACGTCAGCTCTCAGGTCGCCGAGCAGAGAAACAAACATGGCGACAGAATGGAGCGGGCAGCAGGGTTACGTTCTCACCGTCGTTATCTGCCTGTGGAGCGTGGTCGGCGGCCGGACAGAGACTGCGGCGGCGGCTGGTTCCGCCCGGGTCAGCGGCGCGAGCCAGGTCCTCGGCATGCGGCTCGAGCGAAGCGACAAGCCGTCCAGCACCAATGACGACGGTGTCATCCAGGTGACCGAGGAGAGCACCGTGCAGCTCCGGTTTTACGGGGTGCAGCTCCACTCGGGTGCCTGGACGCAGATCCGCTTCACGGAGCTGGCGGACGGCGGAGGAGGAGGAGGAGGAGGAGGAGGCGGCGGGGACGAGGAGGAGGATGAACAGGAGGAGGCGGTCGCGGCGGCCAGGGGAGGCAGCGGCATGATGGACACGCCGGATAGGACTTGTGTCGACTTCACGAAGGACATCAAAGTCGGGAGTTACATGAACGTGAGCAACCGGGGGACGTCCGGGGTGCTCAGCGTGCAAGTTAAGCCGCTGCGCAAAAGCGAGCCGCAAAAGGAGTACGCTTTGTGCACGCTGAGCGAGGATGGCACCAGGTGGGTTCTGCTGGGGGAGAGCGACGGCAGGGTGCTGGTGGTGGAGGAGAAGAAGTCGCTGCTGCCCATGTGGCTGCAGGCCATCCTCATCTCCTGCCTGTTGGTGCTGTCCGGGATGTTCAGCGGCTTGAACCTCGGCCTCATGGCGCTGGACCCCATGGAGCTGCGCATTGTCCAGAGCTGCGGCACCGACAAGGAGAAGAAGTACGCCCGGAAGATCGAGCCCATCCGGAGCAAGGGGAACTACCTGCTATGCTCCCTCCTGCTGGGCAACGTGCTGGTGAACACCACCCTCACCATCCTGCTGGATGACCTGATCGGCTCCGGGCTGGGCGCGGTGGTGGCCTCCACCATCGGCATCGTCATCTTCGGGGAGATTGTTCCCCAGGCGCTGTGCTCTCGCCACGGACTGGCCGTGGGCGCCAACACCATCACTGTCACCAAGTTCTTCATGCTCCTCACATTCCCGCTCTCCTTCCCGATCAGCAAGCTGCTGGACGTCCTGCTGGGCCAGGAGATCGGCACCGTGTACAACCGAGAGAAGCTGGTGGGGATGCTGAAGGTGACGGAGCCCTACAACGACCTGGACAAGGAGGAGCTGAACATGATCCAGGGAGCGCTGGAGCTCCGGACCAAAACGGTGGAGGACGTGATGACGCCCCTGGCGAACTGCTTCATGATCCAGGCGGACGCCGTGCTGGACTTCAACACCATGTCGGAGATCATGGAGAGCGGCTACACGCGCATCCCGGTGTACGACGAGGAGAGGTCCAACATCGTGGACATCCTGTACGTCAAGGACCTGGCGTTCGTGGATCCGGATGACTGCACCAACCTGAAGACCATCACCAAGTTCTACAACCACCCGGTGCACTTTGTGTTTCACGACACGAAGCTGGACGCCATGCTGGAGGAGTTTAAGAAAGGTGAGTGTCCCAGTGAGGTTGTGTATGTACACATCATCACATCATCAAACTCACAGAGCTGCAACTGCAAAGCCGCCTGTACACCCCGTCCCCCAACCAACGCTCTGTCTGCACTGATCAATAACACCAACCTACATTCACAAATGGCCTCACAGTAGCATTAAACGCGTGTATGCACTATATGACGCATAAGGGTGCCATGTTAGAGGGGGTGCCAGAAAAGAGCATTTTCTTTATTTAATAGCTGCCTGTGCATTGAAAACCCCTGTGGGCTCATATAATGTATCTGCTTACACCTCATAAAGTACTTTGCTGTGGCCTCATTACATTTACATAGGCCAGACCAGGCCAGTCTGGGGTGGCACAGCTAAGAAAAATGTGATTAATCTGAAATGTATTCAGATTTATCACAATTCTCATCAAGAACTATTGATAGGAGAACACTGAACTGCCATGGAAAGGAAAACAAAGCCCTAATATCTGCCCAAGTGCAACGTTTGCATCTCTGCCAAATCGTCTTGGCAGCAACCCTGTGGTTAGATTTCTCATATCATGTGACCACTGGTCATTTCTGATCAGACTCTGCTTTTCAGGAGAAAACATTGAACTTTCAGTTTATGATACTTTCCAGAAAGTATCATAATCACATCACCGACTGCTTACACCGAGCTTAGCTTTGTTTGTATGTTGTTTTCTCTTTCATTGACCAACATGTTGATGTGTGATAGTAACACCTCTGACTGAGTTGTTTCATTCATGGTCTGGAGTCCAAGTTCACGTCTGCACATTGTTGACAAAACAATAACGGCAAACCTGGAGGTGATATTTTCACCTAAACCCCACACATTAACTTTGTGACCCATTAATAAAATGCGTGAGCTACTTACTTGTTTTTGTAATATTTCATCAGTGTGAAGCCTCTCAAAAATGAATAAGACAGGTAACTTTTACCTTCTTGTTGCATAATTCAAATTAAAATTTGTGATTCTTGTAAATGTGCAAAATTAATACATTTCGAAATGTTCAATATTAACACTCGTCTGAATGATTATGATGTAATTATGATGTCACTATCAGAATGAATTGATCACAATGATGTGTTTAAGTGATTCTTTAGCAAAGAAAATAAAAAAAATTGAAATTTAGATTGTTCATACAGAAAAAGAATGATAACAGAACAGACGTCTGAAACCTTCCGATTTATCAGAACTTTTCATGCCTTGGCAGTGGCGTCTCCAAGGGGTGGGGCCGAGGGGGCAAAACCCCCTCTTAAAAAATGCTGTCCACCCCAACAGATCATGTTCGCGTGATAGAAAGTCATACAGCCATCATCTTCAGTAAAGACATAAAGATGAAACCAAATAAATAATTAAACACAAAATAAATAAATCTCTCCGTATAAAGTAAGAACTTATTTAATTTGATGCATATGAAATTAAAGATTTTTTTTTTTTGTGCCCCCCACCCCTAACATTTCTATTGGTCTGGTCACCCCTATGAAAATGTAGCTTTTGTTACAAAATAAGAAAAAATGCAGAGGAAGTGTGCTAACTTTCTGATTTACATAATCTGACAGGAGGCTTTTTATTCTCCACACACACCAGAGCAGCAGATTTGTCTGAACGATCGTCTTCAGCAGGAGTGAACGCTCCAGCTGTTTAATGGGATGGAAAAGCTTCACGTTCAGGCGCACAGGATCAACGCGGGAAATAGCTACACCTTGCTAACTTAATTATTACCGTGGCACGTTAAAAAAAAAAAAAAAAAAACACATAAATGAAGGTCATGAATGTAACGCCTTTAGCGTGTGATGAGCGTTGTCCAGAATTGTCTGGACTCGGCAGGAGACGGAGATCAGCTTCAGCTGTCAGTGTGGTCAGCTTTCATCCACAGCTGAGACCGTTTTCAGCAGCAGAGCCTGAGTCATGCACAAATGCAGCAGTTCTGTCTGATTGCACCTAAAGAGAGAGCATGGCGTCAACTCAACTGCTGCACGAGCCACTGCAGAGGTTGCTGACCCCTCACTGCCTGAGGGACTGGGGTCAATGATGATGATGTTTGAGGGATGAGTCATCACATGAGCGGCCGCCCGACTTCAGCTCTGCTGCAACTGCAGACAGCTCTGTGTGACGGCGAGCGATTTCAGACTGACGTTAGCGTTTAGAGCCGCTCAAGGAAGGACAGGCGTTTCAGATTATAAAAGTAGCTCCATCAGAGAAGACTGGACAAAATAGGATGAAAAGAAAAGATTTAATGGCCATTCTGGAGATTTTGTAGTTATTTTAGGGGAAATATTACTTTGTCTGAACACACCTACCATGTGTATTAAGGCCATTTTAGATAGAAATATAAAGAAGGAGTAAATGTCCAAAAACTCAGAAACTCTGAAATTTTGAGGATCATTTCAGAAATGTTCTTGTTTTTTCAGGGAAAAAACCCCAAAAGAAACAAGAAAATTAGCACATTGATTAAT